GGGAGGTTGTGGGGGGAGAGGAGCATCTGCCCAGCAGGGATGTGGGGGCCTGTGCCACGAGGGAGCTGGCGGGGGGAACCGCCACGTCTGGGGACGAGGGGGAAGAGGGCGAGATGGTGTTTGGCAAGGGCGGGGGACCACGGTGGGGAAGGGGGCGCCTGAGGGGAAGGCTGTGGAGGAGAGCAGGCGGGACAGAGACGGGCGGGAAGAGGCTGAGGGGAGGGGGGAGGTTCTTTGGAAAGTACTGGAAAAGGCAGAAAGAGGGCACGGCGGGGACGAGGGACTGGCGGAGGGTGGGAGGTAGGGTGCGGGCAGATGGGAGTCTGGAAGATGTGAGCAGGCTGTGGTAAGACAAGGCAAGGACTGAGGAATATAAACTCTTGTCGCGTTTGACCTTAAAGTTAGGAACAAACGGAGAGGCTGGCTAAAGGTGCAGAGGTAGGGCACGTTGCGTGGGCACACACAGAGCGCAGTGATTTCTGGAAAGCGCTGCGTGAAGCAGTCCTCCAGAATCAGGTCCTCCGTCAGCTGCTGGCGAATTGGACCGCTCAATGCGTGGAAGACCTATTTCGGTGAGACGTCCATACACGACCAGCGAGCAAAAGTGCACGCAGAAGAGTCTGCCAGTGGCATTCATATCTTTATGAAAAAAGGGGTGTGCTTTCTCTGTTTGTATAGCCCTTTAATGTCCTATTAATGCCACTTGGATATAAGTGAGGGAGATCAGAAAAAGTTAGAACTGTTGGTGTCTTTTTCTGCCTTGAGGTGATTTAAAAGCGTTTCAGAATATGCTATAAAAAGCCAGCTAGACCACACCTGAAGTACTAGACATAACATTAGGAAAAAACAATTTCTCTTACAAGACAGATATTCAAGTACTGAAAAAGCTATAAATGAGAACTGCTTTGTTCACTGTGGATGATGAAGCACAATTCTGACATGCCAAAAAGCCACATACCAGTTCAATTGTTCTCCTAGTGTGTCTTGCTTTATGGCAAAATAGAAGCCCAACTAGAAACCTCAGTTTCAAATGACCTTTAGTATCTGCCTATTATATCATGGCAAAATGATTTTCTGAACATCTGGGAGGATTATTTGTCTGTAACTGACCTTTAGGAGGTTGCAGACTAGTGGTTACACAATTAAGTTCTCAGTTCAGTCAAAGGCAAGTAGTCTGTGGGATTAAGAGTTTCCATTTTTCAAATACAAATTCAACCTCTAGTGCTCGTTTCATTCTAATTATTAACGTTCCACAAAACCTAAGGCTGCTTTTAACTCTAAGTAGTCATCCTCCTGAAGAAAGTGTGCATCACATTTATGGTTATATATATAATTAAGGATTTTTTGCAGGTTTAGGACCCTACTTTTTTTTTAAAATTATTATAGTGAGTCCATACTTTTTTGTTGTGCTTCACTGCCTCTTTCCTCTTCCTCCTCTTTCTCCACTCTGCCTCCTCAGTACTCCCTTTTTCTCACCAGTCTCCGTTACCATTTCCCTTGCTGCAGTGCTGCATCCAACTGCCTGGACCAACAGCACTGCGCTCTGCTGCTTCTCCATGCATCATCTGTAACGGTGGTACACTTCTCTAGGAGGACACTTATTTTGCAGTTCCTCACACAATTCAGATATCCATTACTAGTCGAGCCATCTATTATTTTCTATTAGCATTTTATCTGAAATAAAACTTCAGGTTTTTTCCCTGCTAGATTATGTGGTTGAGGATGCACATAGTACAAAAGAGTGACCTGAGTTTTTCTGTTCATTTTAATGGCTGCTGTATCAGGCCTTGTCAACATGGGGAAGTCGATCAATACAATTATTTCGGAGTAGACTGTTTTGAGATAAGAGCTCTAGATTAGCGCCCCATGTGACCAATCTTCTGTTTCTTTGCATGTGTTTGTACAGTGCCTCATGCGTTCAAGACTATAATGGAATAAATAGAAATAATAGATTGCTTCTTTCAGCTCTAGCTATAGCAGGTTAGGTTTATTATTTCAAAGCTGCCAATACAGGATGCTTGAGGCCTTTTGTATTGAAGCCTGAGGCAGAGCTTTTATTGATTTCAATGGGGATGTTGTCAGTACTAGGTTCCTATTAAGCTATTTGAAACTATACAAATATTTGGATGGAAAATATGGGCAAGAACTTGCATAGTATTTTCATTTGGAGACACGGCTAGGCAGATGCTGTGCTGAATTCTGTGATATGCTTTAGTATGAGGTTTATGTAGGAATAGATACTTCACTTATAAATTAAATTTGATGGAAATTTTTGAAGACCGCTGCAGTCTTTCATTTGGACGACAGTTTGAAGTGCTGACGGGGAATTGAAGTTCCCCTCTCCTTGCTGCAGTCATCCGCAGTAGAAGGGACAAATTGAGCTTTCCCGACTGGAGACATATTTCAGTTTTCCCTTGGAAAAAAAAAAAAAAGAAAAGAAAAAAGCAGTCTCTCAACGTGAGCCTTTAATGTTATTTTCAAAGGCTGAGGTTTGAAACGGAAAAGAGGTTTGGTTTCCACAGTATTGCCAGCAGGGCTGAAATTACATTGCCACAGCTAAGGAAGGCCATTTTTATTTAGTCAGTTCTCTCATCATCAGAGCTAGCGTACTGGGGTGGGACCACTTACTGAACTGTTAGGGCTCTGTTATTTGACTTTGCTATCCTGTGGTAAGAAGGGCATGTCGTTTCGTACTTCGGGCTGTGGCGCTGGCATAATGCCAGCTCTGGAAGGACTGCAAAACTGAGGTTTTGCAGCAGGTTACATTCAGTCTAGCTTTCTCTGCTGCTGTGAAGTTATCAGTCTCACAGCAAATCAAATACAATTTGATTGGTAATGCTCATTCAGCTTTGTTTGCCTTTTGTTCATAAATGCTAGTGTGGTTTTACACACAATTATGAGATCATTGCAAGCAAACTGATTTTTTTACACTGTTTTGCCTTTAAAAAAGGAGAAACCATTGGGTAATGAACAGAAAGAGTCCAGTTCTGCTCCGCAACAGGCGTCTTATCATCATCATTACCTTATTTGACTCTTACAAAACCCCTAAGCTTAATAGGATATGTCCAGTGGAACATGGTCTTCCTTATACACTTAATTCATGAGCTGAAATATTTCAGAAACTGAAACTTGCAGTGGTCCAGGCCATATTTAAAATATGCTTAGTGTATTTAAAATGCATGAAGTATATTTAAAACATATCTAAAACGTCAGGATCTTATCAACATTCATTGCCAAGCACTGAAGCACTGTACAGAGGCACATATTTGAAAGATTCTGTATTTTATAATGACGTTTTGTGAGCTTTCTTTTATCACATATTTTTGAAGTATTTTTTAAAACTGTCCGTGTAGATAGTCTCATTTTAATGCAAAGGAGTTTGCTGCAGTCTTTATTTTTACTGATGACAGAATACAAGTTTGCACTAATAGGAGATATGCAAAAGAGCTGGCAAGAGTGGATCAAATAAAATGTCGAGTCCTTTAATGGTGGCATAATATCAACTACAGTATAGATGGTTCATAATGATAATGATTTATATTAAGTATTTTGCAAAGCGTTAAACTCTAGCTTGGCAATTGAGCTAGGATTTCAGGGTTTGCATATACAAGTTGAAGGCTGATAGAATAGTAAAATGGATGCTGGAAGTTAGTTTTACATTAGTAACAGGACAAACTGCATCAAAAATCTCAATAAATCCCTCTCTTATAGAAGGAATGTTCGAGCAAGAAGAAAAAGACAGCACTCAGCAGTAACAAGGACATCCTTTCTTGACGTTCCCTACATATTTTTTTTGTAGTTGATTAACAGCCCTTTCACTGCCTTGGAAATCTAGCTGTTTTCAGACCCGTACTTGAAAGACTGGCATCATTTGAGCCTATTTCATAACTTGTTTCCTCCTCCTGAGTTCTGCATATAACTAAAGTCAAAGTAAATTTTGTATTTTTGTAATGAATAATTCAGAGGCAAGGCCCAGAAGAATTTTAACTGTGAGAGCACATTCTTATATTAATATGGATAGAGATAAATATAAAATAATGCTCTTATATTGGCTTTTTTTAATGAAATGTGTTCAATTAGCAACGTTCACTGCTCTCTGAGTAATTTTATTAATTCACCACTACAATATCTGTGAGCCTTGAAGTGATTTACAAATTTTATTATGAAAACTCCTCTATGTGGTGAGGGAGAATTAGCCGCGTTAAGGCTTGGTTTAATGAAATGCAGGATAATATAAGTGCCCATTGTAATTCAGTAAGTCTTTAGCTGAGTGCTAGAAATTGAATCCCGCTTTTCCTGAGCTATTCTTCACTAGATGTTGGAGCTACTCTTGGTGAGCAATTACTTTTTATGCGTTAGTGTGTGATTTGAGTACATGATGAGGCTCAGTTGCTTGCCTGAAACTATACCAAGTTTCTAAATTTCTAGAGAGGCTACATCCCAGGAAGCGTTCTGTGTCTAGTCCTGTGCTGTGGCCTA